TATCCCATAAAACAAATGATGCACGTTTTAATCCTGGCCACATAGTTCCATGAAAGAGATTGTTAGTCGATATACATGAAAAGACTTGTTCTTCATTGTACTGTTTGATCAATGTAGGCATTGATTCAAGAGATACATTAGGTAATATCATATAATTATAATCTAGAGTATATGGTCCAAGTCCATGATTTATCCAAATAGTTAACACACGTGCTGTCACTGTATAATTATAAGCACCAATATCATGATAATTTCCTGTTTTATTTCCAAGTTCGATTCCTAATGAAGTATATTGTTGTTGAAGTTGTAAAAAATAACCAATGTTAGGTCCACTTATATGTATCCATTGTACATTAGATGTTCGGTTTTGAACATAAGGAAAAGAATAGTTTCCATCGGAAAAAGTAATTACTGTTGAATTGAAGAATCCAATAGTGATTTGACCAGTAGGTAACAATCGACTAGCAAGTGTAGTCCATGCTGTTGTTTGTGTTGTTAATGTTAGATTAGTAGCTAATGCAATGATTGCATCATCATAAAAATGCCATGATCGTTTGGCTGTCAGATTATGTGATGCTGTATCCATCATCGCTAAACCATACTGATCATCACTAACACCACCAACAAAAGATAATGTTTCCCACGTAAAAGTTGCACCGTTACAACGTTCAAGTGGAATATCATGTTCAACAGTAATACCATTTATCGCTTGCCAATCGATTAGAGGAAAAATGAAATTATAATTATAAGTATTGCCCGTATACAAATTCAGTACACCTTGACCACTATGTTCTGCTTTTAAATTTTCACCATTAATACATTCAGTAGGTTGTGTTCGAATAGATTGCATTTCAATGGCACTTGTCCAATTTGCACGACGATGTACTTGATAATCAGATAGAAAAAAATGTTTATTACCAATTAATAAAGAAGCATTTGATTGATTATCAAGACGATTAGCGAAATTAATTAGTTCTATTTTCGTGTCATTTGATTCAATTAATTCTGCCACTATTCTAATCAATTCTGTATTAAATTCAACATGATATTCCTTGTTTGGTCTGGAAATAGCTCTTCCTAGCACGTGCCAGTCCCACTCATCACCTATTATCATCCACGCATCACCTTTAGTTACAAACTGAGCAAATGTGAATAACTGTTGTTCATTTAGTGCATATTGAGTTTTCTGGCTACAGACAATGAATGAAAAGATATTTACAGCCCAGATCATTCCATAAGTACCAGATAATAATTGTGATCCATGAAAATGATAAGACCAATCATATTGTATTCCTACTTCATTGGATGATACAATAGTAACATCTTCCCACATTCGTGTAAAACCTTGTTCAATACCTGTAATATTATTTGTGGCTAATGATCGATAAATTTCAACTTGAATCATCCACACTAGATTAGCACCAGTGTGATGAAGGCTACCTAACCACCAAGCTGATCGATAAGATATTTCTTTAATCTTTTCAATCTCAAAATGAGCTGCATCATCACCTAACATCAACAATTGACTAGTTGCATGAAGAGGAATATTTATTTCATTAAACCACCAATTTGGATTTTGCCAATCATTAATTAACCAAACATTAAGAGCACAATGAGCTGCTTTTCGTATTTGAGAATCATTTTGAACAGTTGAACCATTAACAGTTAATGCTTGTAACATATTTGTTATTCGATACATATGTCTTGCTGTAAACCATTCAGCAATACCTTTATCTGCATAATTTATATCTGGCCAATAACAAGAAGTATTTAATGTTCGAGTAAATGTTAATGCAGCTAGTACTGTAGCAGATATATTTTCTTTTGTTGGCCATACCATCAATTCCAACACACGTTGGCGAATAATTAAAAGATCATCATTTGGTATGTGGCCAAAGACACACCATGTTAAAGATAAGAAAAGAAAGAGAAGAATATTGTAAGGTCTCATCATAATAGAATATGTAATTCTTTGCAAAAAGATTCACCAATGTTTTATAGGATGTACTTATCAGCTCATACTTATCAGTAGAAACAAGAACATATACACAAGTCACAATCCTATAAATAACTTCTAGTAAGAATTATCATTTTAAGAAATGGTTGAATCGGAAACAAGAAGTTAACGATGTGAAGAATCCTAATGACGTTCAAATATGTTATGTACATAGGTTTTGATCGATTATTTTTTGGACAAGTTGATTTTCAAGATTATGCTGAACGAAATAAAACTTCATATAAACACATTCGGTTTGAGACTATTTTCTGTTTGCATATAAAGTAATTTTTGTCAAGTCTCAAGACTTATGAAACACCCTGTATTCACGGTTATCTCTTCAAAATGACCCGTTGGACAATAACGACGAGGACATTCAGATTCAATTTCTAAATTTTGGATCGACTGATAAAAATTCAAAGCAACATGATTGTCTCGATTAATTCGACAGCAAAATCAAGGATAGGCATACATACAGTCCTGGACAAAAGTAACGACCCCCCATAAAGTGATACCAATTTTAATGATTTTGAGCTAATATTTTGAATACATGTGAGTCATGATTAACTCTGATCGCAAGCATCAACCCGACATCCATCGATTGTTGTATAATGAAGTTATCCATTGAACATTTGGTTCGCCTTGTGACGGATGGGTGTGAGTGGGCGTGGGTGTGGGTGTGGGTGTGGGTGGGGTGTGA